CTGCTGCCTCAAGCGCCCGCTCCTTGAGTTCCTGTTGAGTTCTCACGGGATTCAGAGAGTACTTTGGGATGCAGAGCCCGGTGGAGGTGTGGAATTTTTCCCAGAACGTGCGTGTAGAGTGCCGGTGAGAGGTCGGGAATAAAGAGTTGCTGTTTGAATCTACAAGGCTGTGTGGTGGCCCGGTGATTTTGTGCCCAGCCAGACTGCGGCAACATTTTCTTGCTGAAAATGTTTAGTCTAAATATAATCAAGCTTCTAAATCTAACTTGAAGTTTCTAAAAGACACAGGGAATGGAAATCCAACTAAATGACACTATGAGAAAAAAACAATAGAAAACAAGGAACATTCTGTATGATACCTGGTGTGGACTCTTCTAAGAGTTAATGATACTTAAAGAAACAATTTTTTAAAGTTGGGATAGAGATATTATAGACAAAAAGATACTAAGAGGATACCATAACCAAGTACAATGCATAAATTTTGACTAGGTCTTTGGGTAAAATAGGGAAATTTGAATAAAGATTAACATTAGATGATAGTATGGAATTAACGTTAATTTAATTAGATCTAGCAATTTTACTGGGATTGTACAGAAGAACTTCCATTTTAAGAGATGAGTGCTGAGCACTTGCAGTACAATATCATGATATCTGCAACTGAAGTTCAAATGTTTCGGCCAGAGATAAAGGAAAGTAAAGAAAGCAAATATGGTAAAATATTAGGTACAATTATTTGATTAAAGTGTAGGTCCTTGGGACATTTATGTATCTTTTCCTCAGGTTTTCTGTGTGCGGGAAATTTTCCAAAATAAAAATTGGGTGAAAATAATGTATCTTGACTATTAAATTGTTTCGATGAGCCATCACTTGTATTTCGCATTTTCTCAACTAAACTAAGGAAGTGTTTGTGTTCCCCATATAGAAATCAAGATTTCAGGATACCTGTGAGAGGGCATATGAGAGTGACAGTGTTCCAGCCATAAATTACATTTTCACATGAAACACCTCTATTTAGACACTTTGGAAGTTGAAAACACAAAATGTATGGAGTACATTTTTTTTGCACCATTACAAACACAGGTGAAGCCCAGGCAAATTCTCATGGTGAACACGCCTCATCTGGCATCCAGACAGATATCAAAAGGTGTGGGAGGCCAAGTCAAACGGAAAGTACTTAAGAGACGACCGGTAGCTGCAGACATGAGCTGTGTTTGCTTCAGCCTTGGTAAGGACGCCTGTGTCATCTGAGAGCAACATTTGTGTAGGTAAGATTACGTTCTTTGGTCCTTCAGAAGAATATACTAGGTGGGTGTGTAGAACCAATCTGTGCCCCTGTTTAGAATTTATACTAATGATTTAGTGTAAATCTTTTTATACTGTTTTGTATATAAATTCTAAACAGGGGCATGAATTGGTTCTATTGTTATATCCAATGTCTCCTTGTTCTTGTTTTCTGATTGTTTTTTGGTTGTCTTTTATGGCTTTTGTCAGGTTAAGAGGAATGTTGGATGAGAGAACAAGAGCAGTTGAGGAATGGTGCTTGCTTATACCCATGTACCACCAGGAGAGCACCTCTATTTGGCTTTGTATTTGTACCAGTGTGCATACAAACAAGTGCCTATATTTGGTCTCTCAGCAGGTTCCTACAATTACTAATAGCTAACATGGAGAATAAGACTTGGATTAACTCCCATGAAAACGTCTCTCCCAACACTTCTTAACAGTTTCATAGTTGAGGCACAATCCTGAATCCCAGTGAAAAACTCGCCACGCCTTGGTGTTGAATATCTTTATGGATGATTACTGCAAATTCAATGACAGTATCAAACAGTCTCTTGTGCAAGTGATACAAGCTAATGTTTGCCCAGAATTTTGGAATTTACAAAACACTTTTTTTACATTTGTTATTTCACTCTGTGTGGCATTCCTGGGAGATGGATATGGTACTCACTTCACAGGTAGATATATATGTGTATACACACACACACACACACACACACACACACACACACATGGCTTAGAAGGGCAATATGTGCCCAAATTGCTCTACTAGTAGGTTGCAGAGCCAGCCGTTGAGTTCATGCCTCCAAAGTTGTATCCTGCTCATTGCAGGTATCCAGTTACAACACTTGTGTAGAAATGGTACTGATCTTTACTCCATTCTCAGCCAATCCTTTAACCCAAAGCACACAGTACATGCCTGAAAAAAAAAGAACATGAAAGAAGATCCTGTGATTCAAAGCCCAGTGTACTAAAAGTTACTTAGGAAAGTTACATGTGTAATGGTCAAAGGATGAACAGTTGTGAAATTCTCCAGTCTGGGCTCCAGTCCCACTTCTACTTAGGAATGGTGCAATCCTTGGCGAGTTCCATCCCCAAGTGAGTCTCTCTCTTGCCCCACAGGGCTATTTTAAGGATTGAATAAAATAAGGCAAAGACATACACACACACATAGTGTCATTTATTACTTGGTAAATATTTGCTTATCATTATGCTTCAAGAATTTTTTTCTGTCTTTCTGGTCACCCCAATTGCCCAAGCCTTCATCTGAAAGCAATCATCTTTTCTGGCCAGCACTTCCTATATCACATGTACTTTTTTCCTTTGTTTCAAAATTGAGTGCTTTCAGTGGTCTGAAAAAAATGTACTCCCTTGGTTCAGTGACCATTTAAACAATGAATGACTGGGAAAAGGTCAAAACTCCTGTCCTCTTTAGCTGGTGCGGTGGCACAAGCCTATAATCCCAGTGGCTAGGGAAGATGAGGCAGGAGGATCCAGAGTTTAAAGCCAGCCTCAGCAACATAGTGAGACTGTAAGCAACTAAGTGCCCTAGATTCAATCCTAGGTACAAAAAAAAAAAAACCTCTTGTCCTCCAGGTGATTCACAAGCATAACAAAATACTGCTGAAACTTAACAATTTAACAACCTTCATAACAAGGTACATGAATATCTTTCAAGATAAAGCACATCATCTACCTTGATAATAAACTGTACCATACAGAAAAGATAGGAGAAAAAAATTCCAATTTTCATGTGTTCTTCACATAAAAAGACTCACACTGCCTTCTCCACCATACCTTTATTTATGTTAAGTAGATGATAAGATATGGTTTCCTCTCATCAGTGAAATACACTATAGGTTGCTTCAGGATTATTTATGCTTGAGACAGAGAAGTCTGTATAAGCTTGGAGAAGGCAGTGAATTTTCTATCACTTGATCTCTCTCTCCATTGGAAATGTGTAATCTGCATTAATTTAGCAAACATTAAGGTTAGTGGAAGTTCCTAAAATTTCCCCACAATAATATCTTTAAGAATATAGTTAATATTCTTAGTAACCCAAATGTGTAAATAAAAGAGATTTGTAATACCTTTTTCTTTCTCACTTGAAGGTAGTCTTCTAGATAAATCTCAAATACTATGCTCTCTGCCACTTTTTCTTTACTGCGCTGTTTAGAATCAGACTCAGTGTCATAGAACCCCTGGACAAAAAGCCCTTTGTTGAGACCATACCTTATACCACTTACCCATGCTGTAGCCCTGAGTTTACTTGACAGTCTCTCAGACTCTGTCTTCCTCAAGGGCAAGGACTATAACTTAGCATCTTGAAAACTCAACATCAAATGTTTTAAACCTAACTTGTGGGGATTTTTCCTTCACTTCTGAAACCCACATAATTATTTGCAGAGATGCCTTAGAAACAATGCTTGTTTCCTCTTATCTAAGTGGAAATTTCTGGCAGGTCAGGGCTCACAGCAAGATGATATAACAACCTGGGTCTCTTGGCATCCTCAGGCCCCAGAGATAACTCAGAGTTAATCCCTGACCGACTTAAAATGAAGTAGAAGTTGTACAAAAAGATTTCTTTTTTACAAACCTGATTTTTGTTGAGGTTGGGGGGAGGCCATGTGCTAACCTGTTTAGTTTCTTAGTGACAGCTCTCTCAACTGTAAAGCAGGGCAGCCCCTGTGACAGTTAAATGACAGAGCATGCTGAGTGCTTAGAATTTGCCTGATATATGGAAAGAGTTCCATAGCAGTGATAGCCATGGTCTTTTGACCGTTATTATTATTATCGTCATGGTGGTGGTGATTTCCTCAAATGGCTCTGGTTTGTTTGAATAAGGATTTTGTTCATGCCTGTGCCTAATTTCTATAAAAGGACGGTGTAAGGAGCGAATATAACAGATTATGATTACCAAACAAGGAAGTGTCACAAAATATAAAAAATCCTCTTTAAAAAAAAAAAAAAGTGGCTCTGGGAAAAGGACACATTAGCTCCAAGAAAAGCCTATTCTAATGGTAAAGACCTGGACTACAATTCAGGAGACCTTGGTCCTAGATCCCCATATTGCCTGTTTTATTAGTTAGCTGTGTATACATGAATAAAGTTGCCCAATATTTGTTGTTGCAATGTCCTCACTATAAAATTGCAATACTTATAATTATTATTGTGGGCTGTCTCTCACAAAGAGGTATTATGGTGAGCAAATAAAAATGGGTAATGGTTTTATTTGCATTATAATATTACTTATATATGTTATCAATGCCCAATGAAAAACAAATCTCTGTTAGACGTAAGATCATCAACTGTGTTCATATAATAGAAAAATGCCTGGAGTATTGGTTTACTTGTCCCAAAGTATTGGTTTACTTGTCCCATAAGTCTAGATGAGTCAAGACACAAAGATGTTACGTCCCTAACTATAAACCTGCCCTAGCAATCTGTGGCCCACCTATCCATCAAATTATATTATGTGTAAAGTACCCTAAAAATCTGGAAGTTTCTTGTTAACATAAAATAATCTCATAATGATTGCTTATATAACAAAAATTCAACGATTTTGGCAACTGATGCTAAAACAACAGGTCAAAAGTATGGTGGTCAAAGGTAAATTCCCTTGCTCTGATTAATTCATATGCACTGCAGTTGCTGTAATGTCATGAATTTATCAACTCCCTTTTTCCTTATCAGGACATCATTTTCTTCAGTCATTCAACATGAGTACGATGGTAGACACCGCCATTTTTCTGGGGAAATTTCTGTATTACTTTTTAGAATCTGTAGCTTTCAAGATAATTCCCAGGAAAAAAAAGGATGTTGCTGGTGAGATTGTACTTATAACAGGAGCTGGAAGTGGACTTGGGAGGCTCTTAGCCCTACATTTTGCCCGCACTGGGGCCATTTTAGTTCTCTGGGACATTAATCAAGAGAGCAATATGGAAACATGTAGACTGGCCAAAGAAAAGGGTGGTGTGAAAGTCTTTGCCTATAAGTGTGACTGTAGCAACAGGCAAGAGGTCTACAGCGTCGCTGATCAGGTAAGCTGACCGATGTTCTTTGCTTTGATGCTCAAGAATATTGCATCTACTGTGCACTTTTTACAAAGACAGGACGAAAGTCATTTGTCATACGCTTCCCCCCACATTCTATATGTGTCTCCAACTTGCTTCTGCATGTCAGAAGTCTGGCTGTATGACCTCCAAAAATAAGTAGAGCATACAAAACTGCAAGTGGAAACTTGAGCAGCCTTCAGAGTCCAATGTTGCCAGACTGCTTTTTTCAGTGACTCACTATCAGGAGTTTGTAGAAACCGTGCATACTCCTGGCTTGCTACTCGTTGCTTGTGCAATATTTACAAAGTTATTCTCCCTTTCTACATCCTTGTTTCTTTATCTGTAAAACAAAAGGACTGAACCAGATGAAATTCAAGATTATGTCCAGTTTTAACTTTCTGTGTTTTATGATTCTAATGCCACTTAGATTCCATTCCATCATGTGATGATTCCATTATCATCAAGTTCTGAAAATATATATAACATGGAACATAAGGTAAAAGCATTTAGCATACTGGTAGACCAAGTTTCCTGTTAGACATAACCTATTGACATTTGTTCTAACTTCTTACTGAATATTAATAAATAATAATAGCTAAGATTAATTATATAGTTATATAGTACTTTTAAAACAATGGTATTGTTTTCCTGAGTGTTTTAACCATGAGATAAGGTGTTAGGCAACTGATGCAAATCAAGAGAGAGGAACAGGATAGAGTTCTACAGTTTTGTTAAACTCACAGTTCCCTGGGGAAAACAGCACAGCATACAGAACCACTGGATTGGCGGGGGTGTGGGTTATGAGACAGAGGGAGAGTGGGGACTACAGGCATATGCCTTTATTGTGGTTTCCAGGGGAAAGAACAGGCAATGCAGGGTGAACAGGTTTAAGATTGGCTAATTTTAATAATTTCAAGAGGCTCTAAGGCATAGGAGTTATCCTGATTTTCTGGTTGCTGGCCCTGGGATGACTGGGGTGTGCATATAATCTCCCAGAGTTTGAGACTCCAATAAAGGGAAGTGATGAATATGTGGACTTAATTGCCTGCTCTTGAAGGAAAACCAATCAGCCTCTAGCCAAGGCCACAAAACTGGGTTAAGACAGCACCAAAAAACCATAAACTAGCAAAATAAAACAAATAGCAGCCGCACTAAATGCATTACAAATAGCAATTTATGCACATAATAACTCAATCAGCACATTGCAACCTACTTAGGTACATATCATGATTATCATCACATTAACAAATGAGGAAGCTTCAAGGGACTGAGTGACTATGCAGCATCCCAAGAGCATAAAATTAGCTACTGGCAGAGCCAACGGTATGCCGCAGTCCTGCTGCAGCAGAATAACCAGGGGGTGACGAACAACTTGTTTACGTTGATACAGCAGGAGTAGGAGCCGTTTATTGCAGGACAGGAGCAGTATTTATACATTCCACACAGCTTATCTAATTAGCATAAACTAGATACATCAGTCAACCAATCAGGAATCTCTACACTTAATGGTTCGCTTTTGTTACTTCTCAAACCACTCCCTCTGGCATTTTGCCAGGCACCATCCAGACTTGTTTACGAACTCTAACATTCCCCTGGCAAAATGCCAGGTGTTATTTTGACTTGTTTACAGACTCTAACAACGGTATAACTCAGGCAGTACAGAGCTAAAGTGCACACAATTTGATAAGAGAATCCCCAAGGGATTATCCTTCCTTTTGGCAATCTAAGTCCCACTTTGTAATTCATTTATCAATTCATTCAATGAGATTGATCAAATCATTTTATGTGCATGTAAAAATATGGTATAATGAATTCCATTATTATCTGTAATTATAATTTATCAATACAAATTCTTAAAAAATAATGAAATCACTACTCTGTGACATTGACCTTCTGAAGCCCCCTTCATTCTTCACTTTCTATTACTTTCTTCTTTTTGAGGGGGGGGGGTCCCACATGAAGTTGTTCTTCATAACTCATTTCCAGCTAGTAAAAATAAGTGTGTTATTGCTCCCTATATGTATTTTACAATGGAGCAAGAAAAATCGAAGTCAGTCCTCGTTTTACAAAAAGGGAAAGAAATGTGACAGTAAAAGTTCCTTGGGGTGAGCTCAAGGATAAAGTCTGCTTGGCAGGGACTCCCTTCCCAATACCATGTACTAGCCAGACTAAAAGCCTTGAAAAAATCTTTCCTCCTGAATCATATCCTACATAATCTTCACAACGAATAGATACTACTACTACTTTCTCCATTTGACCAGTGATGAAATAGAGGCAAAGAGAGTTTAAGGACCTAAACTAGGTAATAAGGAGATAAGTGACAAAGCTGAAGTGTGACCCCATCCTCCTAACATCAAGGCCCATGTTGTATCCCCTCCAGGTAATCAACAAATACATGAGAAAACAACAACCCCCTCATAATCTTTTCCTGATTCTCAAAAGTATGATAACCTCCACCCTCTCTGTCTCCCAACAAACCTTTCTTTTCTTGATATCTAGTAGAAAACCCACCTAAAGCCTTTAATCAAAAATTATTTGTCATCATTGGAACATATCTGAAATTTTTCTTTTTTCACGTGATCCTATAAATAGCATTTTTCTAAGTCAACTACTTATCAATTACTTATCAACTCCCAATGCTAAGTATTAAATGTTAAGTATTAAACTTTACCTGCAACAGTTGCAACAAACTGCATGCATTACCCAAATCCTTGAAATTTGTGGGAGACTTAAAAAACAATGACAGGAGCCAGGCATGGTGGCACACCCTTGTAATCCCTGTAGCATGGGTGGCTGAGTTTCAAGGCCAGCCTCAGCAACTTACCAAGGCCCTAAGCAACTTAGCAAGACCCTGTCTCAAAATAAAATATTCTTTAAAAAAGCAATCACAGGATTCTTAAGTGGCATAGAAATTAACACTTCAAAATTAGATTGAGCTATCCTCCTTGTCTCCAACATAGGAAAACAATATACAAATAAATTGCTTCGGTTAAAACAATCAGCTTCACAATTTATTCCCAGATTTCCAGGTCTAATCATTAATATTCATTTTGTACATGCATGAGGTTTATAATTTTGGCTATTTAAAGAGTAATAATTTTGCTATTTAAAGAGTAATAATTTAAAGTAAATATTTAAAGAGTAATATTTGGCTATTTAAAGAGTAATAATTTTGGCTATTTAAAGAGTAATAAATTTGGGTGAAAACAACTTCTATGTGTAAATCGAAATTGGATGTGAATCTTTGTTCCTCTCAAAAGCTGTGAATCACTTGACATGAACCTTAATTTCTCAGAACCTCTGTTTCCTCATCCATAAGCCAGGATAATAATGCCTTCCTAAACTGCCTCTCAGAATACAGGGAAAATTAAATCCCCTGATCTAAGTAAAATTCCTCTGGTGCCCCTAAGACTCAGGGCTTCAATTCAGATTGGATAACAGTGACCACTATGTCTTTCTTAAATTTTAATTAATTTATTTATTTGGGAATTGTTTTTTTTGTGCCAGAGATTCTCTCTCTTTGTCTCTTGACGACTTGGACACCCTTCTCATTGGTCTAGGATTGAGCTTTTATGCACACTGATTCATTCACCAAGCCAATAGGATGGCCTTCTTTAAAAGTTACCCTCTTGGGGATGTTTTCCTTAGTCCTACCTCTCTCCAAAGCAGAAGAGCCAGACTAACATCATTTCAGCAATATTAACTTTCCTTTTCATAGCTTGCTCCACTCAATGACATCAGCAGCAATAGTTACCTTATCTCTCCAAAGCATATTATGTAACAAATAGCAGCAGTGCCTGGACCCCTTAGAAAATAACGTCAGGGCAGGAAATGTTGCTTCATTGAAAATAAAGGAACAGTTTGTCATATCTGCCATAATATTCAATTCAGAAGGAAAAAAAGGCTTCAGAGTGTTTAAACATGCTTCATGTTTTGCCCCAGATCAGCTTTAGTAATGTCACCTACGAAGTCATAATTTCAGAAAAAAATGATGAGACAAAAACAGTTCCCCCAGTGTTTCCTGGAGCATGCTTTTCTCCAAGTGGGGCTTGTGGTGCATTGTGAATTAAGCCAGCAGGGAAAATGGGGTCTCCAGGAGAGGAGGCTTGAGAATGCAAGAGGCACAATGGCAGCAGCCCAACTGTGGACCTGGGGAAAGTATCAGTAACAGATTATTAAGTAGACTTAAGTCAGTTCTTTGCAGAAAAGTGCACAGTATCACAGAAGTCCATGGATACTGGATCAAACACATCCATGTTTGGGATGTCTTCATTCCAAGCACTGGTCAGGCCTTAGGAGGATGTGATGTGCTCCTGCACCTGCTCATAGAGGGATGGAGGAAAATGACACACACAGAAGCAATCATCAGACATCAGCCAAGCTGAGGGGGAAAAAAAAACTAATAAAAATCAGGGTTCTTTAAATAAAATTGTCAAATTAAAATATGCTTTTTTAAAAAATATGATCAATCATAAAATTACTTTAAAATTGCTGAATTTCTTTATATAAGATAAAAATAAATATCTAGTTTTAAGGAAACCACAGCCATGCATTGCTTAACCACAGGAGTATATCTTGGGAAATGCAATGTTAGGTGATTCCATCACTATGCAATTATCAATGAGAGTGTATTTACACAAACCAGAAGAGTTACTGCATCACTAGACAATATGATCTTGGGACCACCATTTTGTATATGGTCCATCATTGTCTGAAATGTCATTATGTGGTGTGCATGACTACTCACAAATAAAATGAAGAAAAATATTTTCGGGGGGAATAAATATCAAAATGACCTTTACCACTTCAATTGATTTAATGTTTGTCTTGCTTCTGGCCAGGTTAAAAAAGAAGTTGGTGATGTGACCATTCTCATTAACAATGCAGGCATTGTAACAGGGAAGCCCTTTCTGGATATTCCAGATCACATGATGGAAAGATCATTTTATGTCAATGCCATCTCTCATTTCTGGGTAATTCTCCCCCCTCCCCCTTTTAATTTGCTTTTACGTGGTAAGTATGCATTTCTATAAACAACTGTTCATACATTTGTCTGTGAATATACCATTTAGGAGCTTTCCCCTGATAGACCGGTGGGGGTCTCATCCTTAACAAATTTGACCCTGTTGCATTTAACTTGATTTTTCCTGGTCTTGCCCTATTTCAAATTCTCGGGGAAATTCCCTTCTCTCCACCCTCTCCAGTATGATCTCAAGACTGATTAGGTTGTTCAGAAATCTTCCTATCCTAATGCATATTGAAATGTGCATAGACATAATTTGTCCATAAGTGAAAGAAGAGCTCATGAAAGGAGAAGAGGAATGTTTTTCAGAGTGGTGGTTTAGGTACATGGAAGACTGTTTATGAGAACAAAGGTAATGAAGGCAAGAGGAATAACATTTATTGTGCACTTACTCTATACCAAGCACCATTCTAAATTCTTTAATTTCATGTTCGGCCATGACACCATTTTCATTCTCACTTTACAAATAAGGGCCCAAAGAGTTGAAATGAATTCCTCAAGTGGTAGGTGGTAGCTGAAGCTTGCCAAAGGAAGGAGTGAGAGGAAGGAAAGTTTCTTTACAGAGGGAAATTAGTGCATTGTTAACTCAGGACCATCTTCCCTGAGGCCTGGAGTAACTGGACAGCACTGTCCAGAAGCACTGTCTTTGACAATGGAAGTGTTCTTCATCTTCCCAATTGGGTGACCACTCATCACCTATGGCTACTGAGCACTTGAAATGTGATTGATGGAAACTGAGGGACTAATCTTTTAGCTCTTTGTCATTTAATTCATGTAAATGCATATTTAAGTAGACACGGATGCCAAGAGGCTATTTAATGCTTTGGAGAGTGCAGCCTAGAGAATAGGTAAGAGGACAAAGGTGGCTGGAATTACCAGAGGTGTTAATGCTGTGAAGGGGAAAAAAAAATCCAGGAAGCAGGATTGGATGAAGAATGCAGGAGGTATGGGGGATAGAAACCAGGGCCTTAGAAGATATGAAGATTAGTGGGGAAGTCCTCCACTGTTGAGTATAGGATTTTGGAATGGGTTTGCTTTGGGTGTCTACTGGTTCCTCCCTTTTTCCACTCAACACTTTTATATACTGTCCACAGGCCTTACAACTATTTCTTTAATCTTCTTTCTTAGTCACCAGGAAGCCAATGAGAGTCCAACAACTGGTTTTTACTAATACTAATTCAGCACCAACAAAGTGCTTGACATATAAAGGGTCCCCCATAAATATTTGTGAAAATCGTTGACTTGCCTCCCTGTACCACACCATCTCAGAATTTTATTTTGGAAGAGAAAAATGCCCTGTGGTTAAATGGAGTCAGTCGATCCTAATCCATTCACATAATCTAAAAATCATCTTTGATTCTTCCCCTTTCCTGTAATACCTACATCTTTTGCTGTTCCTGCAAAATGTACTCAAGTGAACTTCTCTCCATTCCTGCCACCTTGATTAAAGCTCTCCTTCTCCCCATCACCAACAGCTTTTCATGGCCTTTCAACTTCAATAGAGATGCCATCTAACCAATCTTCATATGAGAGTGAGGTGATCTTTTCAATGCACTCATAAAATCATTTCACTTCCTTACTAATAAACATGTTTCCAAACACACTTAGAATAACAGGTACCTGTCATGACCTGGGTGCCCTGGCAAGAGGTGGCAATATCCTCCCCTGTCTCCCATCCCTCATACTCTCTACTTTCTGCTCACTTTCTATAGTCCAAAAGTCCTAATTAAACCCCAGGGCATGTCCAATTCTGTCTCATCCGAGGGTTTTTCACAAGCCATACTTGTAAGACTGGAAGACGCCACACCACACGACACAGATCACCAAAGAGGTTTCCACTTTATTACAAAAGGCTGTGTGTTTATATAGGTCTACGAAGAGGTAGCAGGGGCTGAGGTAGATAACAGGTCGCCCGTTTATTGGCAAGCTCTTCCATATGTCAGTTCCGGAGCCCAAGAAGTTAATTCTTATTGGGGCTAAGGCTTCCCACCAGCAGGGTTTGAACATTGGCGCCGGTGGGAACGTTTCGCGCCAGTGAAAGAAACAAAGAGGGGAAAGAGGGTCGTTAGACGCCATGCTGGGGTTTTTTTCTGGGGTGCTGCTGCCGTTATAAGTTTTCCCAACATTCCTCCCTTTTTATTTTCTTAGGAAGTGGGGCGTAATTGGTCAGATCTGGCTGCTTTCGGCTGTGCGGGGATGGCGTAGGGCCTAGAAGGGGAAGTGGAGGAATGTTGGGGGGGCAGGTCTGGGGATATCATGGCAACCAGAAATAAAACCCAGTGGCTATAGACAGCTACTTCCATAGGAGTGAAGTCTATGAAAGTTCCCTGAAACCACAAGTAGTCGATGGCGTCGAACCAGTCCTGGATGGAGGAAATAGTTGGTATCAGCCACTGGTCCTGTAACAGAGACTCTAGGAAATACTGGAAGCATTGCCTTGACATGGCGTCACCAGCACCTGAAGAAAATCAGAGCGAACAAAAACAGGATGAAGATAAAAATTAAAGCAAATGTCAGTTTTTGGCAGAAGTTCCATGTCGGGGGACTGACAGAGAAGAGGCCAAGGGCCATGAGGAGGCTTAAAAGGACATAAAGGCTCAAAAATCCAGGATGGCAGATTAAGAGGTTCTCCGGGCTCGTAGTCTCCCACTGTCTGATGTCCGTTGCATTCCATCACGCTTGGTAGTGAGCTTCAGCAATGAGTGAGCTGTTCTCTTGAGGATGTTGGGGGTTCATTGGTCATCAGAGGCTGGTAGTACCTAAGCAGAAGCTGGTTGAAAGTTTGGTTAGAGATCTTCCGTAATTGGCCCTGTAGGAAGCGAAGCAGACAGGGCAGGAACAGACACATCAGGAAAAGAAGACATATGGGCCCTAAAAGAGGCAACAGCCACGATTGGAAGTGGGCTAAAAAGAAGGTAGCAAATGGGTTTTGGTTTGGTGGATTTTTCAAAGAGGTAGCCAAGTCGGTGAGCTTGACTACATTAGTTTCCACAAGGCCTGATTCATTGATGTAGTAACAGCATTCTTCCCTCAAGAAAAGACAGGTTCCACCTTTTTCGGCTGTGAGTAAGTCTATAGCTCGTCGATTTTGAAGAGTAACTTGAGCCAAGGATGCGACGTGCCTTTGTAAAGATGCTAGAGATTCTGCCGTAGAAGTGAGCGCTTGTTCAAGTTTAGAACTTAAATCCTGTACAGCCCATAAGGAGTGTCCTAGAGCTCCACCAGAAATTCCTGCTCCCGCCGCAGATACAGCCGGTGAGAGACCCACCAGTATTGGCAGGAAAGCAGCCCACTTATTCTGCACTGGGGGAGACAAGAGGGCCTGCACTTCAGCTGGGGTATAGAGAGTCAATTGCGGGACAAGTGTCACCAGTATACATGGGGTAGAGGTGTTGGTGAATAAGATAGTGATGAGAGAACCATTACACCAGAAGAATGAGCCAGGTGGTGCATAGAGGGTGAAGTTAAAGGTGATGTTAGAGTGGCAAAACTTTGACTGGGAGACACCCAAGCCCAGGAGGCAGCGTCGGGGAATCACAGTATGGTTAGACTCTTCGGGCTCCCATAATGGAGCGTCGGGTGAAAGGGTTCGGAGAGAAAGGCGGGCAGATGGAGTGGAGAAATTTGAGAGGTCAGAAGCCGAGAAGTTCAAAGGAACCACTGCAAGCAAAGGTCGAGTCAGAGAGGCGCATAAGTAGCAATCAGTTGGTGTGATGGCGGGGAGGGTTAGATTTAAGAAGGTTACAGTTTCAATAAGTAGTCGTAGCCATGAATACTGTGGTGGACTCCCGACATTAGGCTCATATGGATCCTGTATGGAGTCAAACAACTGCTGTTCGGAATGCTTTATGTCAGTAGAGATTATAGCTACTGAGGGCTGGGAGGGTTGAAGCTCTCGGGAGATGGAGATGGAGCCACAGGGGGTGGGAGAGGATATGTCACAGTAGAAGGAAGCATTTACCCTAGAGGTCCAGCGTGGATGGTTAGGGTCAGTGATAGCCAATTGATAGCCCCCCGAGATCAATCTGAAATTTCCAACGCAGGAATCCCCGATACATGCACGTGGGTTATGAATGTTGCATGACCAGTAGGGGCACCCCCCATAGGTTTCGGGCTACCATTTGCAGTAATCCTCTGTCTGATCATATAAGAAACAAAGGTAAGGCCTAGCGGCTGTTTTTAAAAGTTCAGAATTCTGGGAGGAGGGGGAAGGAAGATAGATGCATTACATCCTGTAGGGGTACAATCAACCAAAGAAACTAGGCGAGTGTAACGAGTGTTGCCTTGGACATATGTCTCTCTGACTTTGATCTCCAAGTATAAGAGGAAGACGACGATGTCCTCTGGAGAAAGGTGATGACTGTGAAAATACCACTTAGAAGAGTGGGAGTCATGGTAGAGTATGGGCGGTTACACGAAACAGGCGAAGCTTTAGAGGATAGTTAGGATGTGGAGAGCAGGAGTAAAGGGGAGGTCTAGGAGGTGACTCTTGAGGCTCCTCTGTGGTAGTCTTGTCATCAGCAGATGGGGCCTCCTGGCAATATGGCTTCAACCTAGAAATGTGAATCCAGGGGGTGAGACAGTTGCCAGGTAAGGAAAGTTTGGAGGCGGTGGGGGTACACAGAATGACAGGATAGAGGCCTTCCCATTTGGGGGCAAGAGGCCCTTTCTCCTCCGGGGTGTTATAATAGGCTAAACTCCCAGGTGTTGAGGGGGGAGTGTTTGGAGAGGAGACTGGGTCCGGAAGAAGCCAGTCCTGATATTTCCAGAGTTCCGAGTGGAGATGAAACAAGAGAGGTAAAGACAAATCTCGGGTGAGAGGTCCTTGTGAAACGACCAGCCCAGGGGGTATAAGAGGTCTTCCATACATTATCTCAAAGGGAGACAGTAAAGATGGTTTCTTAGGGAGAGCTCTGATCCAAAGCAAAGCCAAGGGAAGGAGTTTAACCC